CGCACATGCGCGCTTTATTCCACTTCTCAGGTCCCCCATAAGTTAATGGAGAAGCAAAATCCCTGCTTCTGTTAGCTGATCTGAAGTGGTCCCAACCCCTCCCCCCCCTCGACGGCAAATTTTTGGGAAAACTTGGTGTAGGGAAAAGGGAGCATACCAAGGGAGAAAGTTTCAAGGGTGGGGGGGGGTCATATATCGCAAACGTACACAATGTCATGGGATGCCCTAATCGTTCAGTGTCTCTCTACAGGTACAGGTCGTATCATCGCGATCAGTTGGGTAGCATTCGCGAGGGATGGAATGACCCCAGCTGTGGTCTTTTCACCATTGGTTGTTTTCTTCCCAAATCGATCACTAGCCGATCACCATTGGTAGAGCAAGGCAGCTGGAGGCGGGTTCATTCCTCCCTCCTGACACCGCCTCCGACTGCCTGCGTATAGCGTGAAATATCGGTCCCTCGAATGACTCATATAGAACCTTGAAACCTTTCTTTTGAAATCATACATTTTGGGTTGAAGAACAACTGCTGGGTACGTCCAGGTAAAAACCGTTTGCTCGAGCAGCAGGATGGTCATCATCCAGGTATGGCCTCTCGTAACAAGCTGAAACAAGGTATTGATTGATAAGAATATTTTGGTAGAAAAATTTTAGCCAGCAACACATTGAATAGCCACGAGGTGAAAAGTGCACAACAAGTACACCTAAACCGTCCTTATTATTTCATATCACTTAAGCCCGGTTCCCTAAAAAACTGATGAATTCTGAATCAGCTGATATCAAGTAATTAGTAAGCAACCCCAAAAAATTACGAAATCGTGCAAAACTGATAAAAGGCCGAAATTCGTTGAACTTTGAAATGTGAAAGACTTGCCTGCAGTTGGTAATGGATGAGGCATAAAGGCAGCGTGATCGCATGCAAGATAGTTTCCAGCACAAGTTACACCAGCAAGAAGCTTAATAAAGTAATACTCCCGTACCGTAAAATATCCGTAGAGCAAACATTACTAGGTTTCAAAAAGTGCGACTTATTCAATAAATGGAGGTGGTTCTCTTCTACCCAGATAAAGTAAATCACTGGCGTCTTTCAGCGCCAATGCGGGTGTTTTCACGTGACGGCGACGGAGTCACAAGTTACTGGGCCTTATTGGCTTACAATGAAAGTCGTAGAAGAACAACAAAGAGTCCAGCGTATATTTAGAGCAGCACCGCTTATTCTACCCGTACCTAGAATCGTAAGGAATTTGAGTATAGCATGACCTGAATCCGTAGGGAACACTCCTGTTCCCTACGGACTCAGGGCGTGTGGAGAGGGGGGGGCGAGGGAGTGTGGGAGGGAGTGGGTTTGCGCCAGCTTACTGTTCACCAATTGTTGTCGCTTACCCGCTTCAACAACTGATGGAGAGCGGGAGGGTGCTGCGCCAAACCCAGCTCTCCTGACACCTCCCAGCATCTACCGCGAACAAGACTATATGAGGTCGAAGTCGATCTACAAAATGATGTTTGTACCCTACGAAGCAGGTAAATCGCCAATTGAGCGGTCCCGAAAAATATTCATATTTGCTTTCTCGAGCTACATTAGATCAAGTATGACTTGTAATTACAGCGAAATTCACAACTGTACCACTTCGACCAGAAAATACAACACATTTATGAAGAACCTACCAAAATAGGTCCATCAGCTTCAATGTGATAGGTGTGTGGATCGTTCTGTGGGGTCTTCTTGGCAAAATAAGTAGTTGGCTGATCTCCGACAAATGCCTAAAAGACAAGTTTTCATATTGAAAACGGTTAACTGATGTGTTTTCCAGGAAGGATAAGTGAGGGAAGAGCTTAACTGTTCAACTTAATCAACACTTTACAGCATTCAAATAGCGCTCTCCCTCTGAGCAAGCAGTAAGGCTCTCATGTGTTTGCTGGGAAACTCACGTTGCAGCAACACGGTGAAACCGGCGCTATGAGCAACGTCGCCTGCGTAACTTTCTCATCAAGACCTAGCTGATTTAACATGGACGTGCTACTGTATGTTAAGTCAGCTAGCTAGTGAACACTATCTAGTTTACACTCGACCCAGCAGCGTGAATCCACCTATAACGAGGACACTCCCGGCCCACTCAGAGGCTGCAACGGCGTGCAGTAGCGAAAGCAGCCTCTAAGCGGGCCGGGTGCCCAGATTCTGTCATTTCTACAAGAGCCTTTGATATGAAAGCTTCTGAACAACTGTTAAGTCCTGTATCGTATGAACTAAAGTTAAGCACATACCGAAAACGGCAGAGGGTTGCTACCCATCACAGTCAACGTGCCATTGACGTCTCTTACTGTGGGAATGATGGTGATGTGCTGGTATCCTGGATTCTGCTGTTCATTAGCAGCCGGAGGGAGCGTGAACGAGAAAACCGAGCCGGCTTTTGCCCATGATACAGGCAAAACTGAAAAAATGAGAATCCTCACGGTCTTAAATATCATTCGGAATAATTCATAGCTTTCTGTCGAACACACTACTATTACGGGAATATACGTTACTTGTCCACTAAGAGAAAGGATAAGAGGGTGTAAGTTAGGGCTACACGTAAGGGTCAGGAGCGCACACATCCCACAGGGCTCGGGTTTCTGCTGTATGGGTCATGCGTCAGCGATTGAAAGGGGCCTAACGTTGGTCCTCTCAATGTAATATTCTGGAGAAGGGAGGGATACTTTGAAGAAGTCCCAAAAAGCAAGTAGATGTGGGAGGAAACATTCAGCTGGCAGAGCACGGGGATATTCTTGAAGTGATGGGAAAAGGGTGAGAGGTTCAGCGAAAAAGTTCAGTGATTGAAAAGGAGTCAGATTCGGTTATAGACCATGGAGAGAATGGGCTATCTGTCGGGTACACCAATAACTAGAAAAGTTTAACATCGACTGGTCCAATAACAAAGATTTCCGTTGATTTTCTCGTGATATGGTATTCTCATGATAATTACGGCTTACCGAGAAATGAGTCTCCCTGATGGGTTGAGCTATCGAAGTTGTTCGCAATTACCGTAACCGCACAACTACTGGTTGCTGTAAGCAGTTGATTTGGTCCGCTTTGTACCTGTATACCAGGACTCTCGTACTGCCAGCCATACCAGGATGGCACAGGGATCTGAATAATGATAACCTTGAGTGAATGCGAGACACATCTAGCTGACCTGATGATGTTCAATAACGGAGTGTTACATCTTAAAAGCTGTACAAAAGCAGATTGCGCAGTGGTCAAGCAGGTGGAGTCACTTGAGTACAGTAGCATTCTCCCTATCTTCTCATTGGTTGGTCCCTCTCTCCAAAATGACAAAAAAGATGAGCGGGAAAAGCTTAATATTCCAGGTTACCCGCCTCAGAAGGGTTCAGTGCGGAATGAGGCTCCAAGCCTTAAAATGTGTAAAAAGTATGCGTCAGAGCATAAACGCAAGCATTAACATGATGATGTTATAAGCAGATTCTGTCACTTGCGCCTCGCTCCAAGACGTGCGACAATGCTGTTCAGGTATGTGATGAGGAATGCATACTTGGGAGTTGAAAGAAATTGCAATATAAATAAGGAAAAGTTGTCACTGGTAATTAAATTGCTTGGACAAAGCAGTGCGCAATAGGAGCATGAATAAGTTCGCCCACTCAAATTTCTGTGCCAAAACGAAAGAGGCCCGTGGAAATGTGAACAAGCATGGACAAAAATTCGTGAAAAGCTCACAAATCCGTGCTTCCAATTATTCCAGTATTTAAATGCTAAGAGTTTTGAGGCTCGCATTTCCACGGGAATTTAAAAACATCGTGCGATGATCGCGACACAGAGCGCATGCTTTAGAAGATGCCAAACATATGCGCTCACGAGCTCTAAATTTTGAAAGGACAAAAGTAACGATGTGGAAGTCAGATGAGTCTAATATGACAAATATGAGCCAGTTCAGGAAACCCGCAAGTGATTTGCATTAAGACAAGTACAGAAATGAGGACAATGGCAAGTTTCTGGAGTAGGGGGGGGGGGGTGTAAGACCTTACTTCGCGTTCGTTAGGTGGTCGATGAAAAACAGGAGTTTGATTAGGAGATCCTGTCAGTGGAACAGGAGTTCATCGTTCTTCAGGCTCACTAGAAGATGAACTGAATGAAGAGAGAAAACCAGATTCATGAAGTGCCCATAAAAAGCAACTCACACAAGTGCAAAATGAAACAGTGCAAGAAAGTGCAAAAATGAAATGGAAAGAAATTTTTGAAAGGTCAGATATCATAAAACGACACGCAGCAACATTTTGCCAAAGACAGACTGTATATACGCTTTCTCACTTCAGTGGACCTTTCGCTCGGGAGTAAATGATTCTGGTGAAGCGGTGTGACTTCATAGTCAACATGCCATCTTTGCAGTAGGCCTCAGAATTGACTTGCAAATGTCTTGCATCGCGCAGCTATCATTGCGTATTGAGTACTAAATGTGAAATCTAGTAGTATAGCAGCACATGTGAAAGTGCTGTAGTACATGAACAATATTTGTCTGCAATTCTTCATGCGTGTAAATTTTTATCCGCAAATGAAATTCAGCGATTGAAGGATTTAGTATAGGCAGCAAAATCATTTTCCCCTTGAGACTCACTAATTTTCTAGTTTTTTTTCAATGAAATTAAAAAGTCCAATGTATCGATTACCAATCATATAGGTTTTTTCAAGTGCAACTTCCCCGATTAAGATAGGATACATTCGAGCATGCCGTAAAGCTCATTAAAAGATTAGGAAAATGAGCATTAAATTCCTGTGGCCATATAATCCCGTTAATGCAGACTGTCCGCGAAACGGATCTTCCTTCTTCCAATTTATTTTTCTCTTTTTTTTTACACTTGCGTGTGCATCAAGTGAACTACGCTATCGAGAGCGTCGTTTCGCGCGGCACCGCGTGCGCTGCATTTTCATCGGAAGCTAATCGATTAAAACGGGAAGTGTAGCAGTAGGCCACGTCGACCAGCCTATAGGAAATACTGACTAGCTGCCATAACGAGGATTTCGTGACCCACCGTTGGCTTGTAGCAGCACACCTGACCACTCTTAACATTTGCCTCCCAAACAAATATTATATTTCCAAATATGTTGCCGCTTAGCAGGTGGATGGAGGATTGTAGCGCGCTCAAAAAAAGAAGTCTAACAAGTGAAGACTCCTAAATTTTGGAAAGTAGTCAAATACGACCCAAATATGACCTCTTCCTTAGCGACCAAATACCAGCGACTACCTCATCCCAATGGGATTTGCATTGAGTGAATGCATACTGTGTCTTCTACAGCTTCTACTGATTGGGGAATGAGAGACCTTGTCATGTGACAACTGTGAGCCTGAGATAGAATTTGTGTAAAAGTAAAAGTAGCGAATGTCAAGTAGGAGAAACTGATAACATTTTCCGATAATGACTGGTGTGGGGAAGAAAAATATGTAGCATCACGCATCTGCTCGAGATCGAACATGAAAAATATAACAAATAGTATGGAAAATAAATAAAGTAAGAACCAAAGAAGGATTATCAACCTGTAGACTGACAAAACCCTGATTCCTCAAATCCAAATCAGCAATCTCGAATGAACGAAGATAAATGACGTGCCAAGGGAATCTGGTACAGGGTAACAGGTGCCGACTATGTAAACTGAAATAGAGCAAACATTTAAAAATTGTTAATAGCTAACAAGCCTTCCTAAACTTTCTGGTTCAAAAAACTCAGGAATCCAAAGAAACTCAAAGGTCCGGCTGTAGTTCTATCGTCGTTGAGATGTTAAAAGTGCTTGTCGAACCACAGCTAAATGCCGCCAGGGTTGAGTTTGTCCCGGAGTCCTCGACGGCGGGATCGTGTGGGGGTCACAGGACGAGAAAGCCAACGAGCAAAATTCAAGAGTGAGCAGACAGTGACAAAGTCTGTTGGGGAAAAAGCACTGAAGCAGTGTTTGTGCTGCGGATGCCTAATTAATTGCCAAATTCCTAAGTTCTTTGAAGGGAGTTGCTCTGAAAACCACAACTTTGCTCTCCCAGAGAAAAGTATTCTTATATTCGATGTTTCAAAACTTCAATTCTGCCGGAATATCATTTTCGGCTCTGGATGTTCATTACATTTCTAAAGGCTCTATTTTGTACCTTTCAAGATTTATCGACCCGTAACTCTGCATTTTCTGCGTAGAGCCTGCCACAAAATCCCCTAGTCCTGTATAGGGCCAGCAAATAGGCAAGCGAATTTGAAGTGAGTCAGCTCGTTATCCCTAAGACGGAGTAGGCGTGTCATCTGATCATGGCATGGGATGGATACTCGTGGGGTATTTCGACAACTGTCAACTTGTTCTATGTTGGACAAAGACGCTATTACAAGTGTCCCAAAATGAAAATAGCTCAGGAAAAGCTTAGCTGCCACCGCGTTCGATTCAAGTGCGCAGCCAGGCCTACCGCATCCCTGGGAGTTCGAGTATAATGTACTGCAGATGGTGCTAACTATATGCTCCTAGTTTATATGAGTACGATCACGAGCACAGAATGTGGCTCAAACGTTGGTTCGCAGGTTAAGTATGTCCTATACTGCGAATCTGAATAGAGATCTAGTGCATGGCGCAGCCCGTAGCAAAATCGATCGAAGCCACTCACTTTAATTGGTATCCACTACAAGTAAAAAAAAAAGAAGAAGAAAGTGAAGGAAAGTGAAAAAATAAAGTAAATTAAAAGAACAGAGCGTTAGGTAAAGAAAGAAGTAAGAAAAACGTGTGTTCTGTCATTCGGCGGTATTGAAAGGAACTGGGACAATAAAGAGTAGGGTTCCACATTTCGCAACAGAAAAAGGTTTTTTGGTTTCATTTTGTGCAGTATATCTTCTGAGATGGCTATGATGTGAAAAATAAAAATTTTTGCAGGGACAGATATTGAAGTTTGCCAGTAAGCCATGAAGCAGTGTTTTCACTCATGAATAATCACTGCATTCGATGATGTAATCGGCGTTTTTCTCGCAGCCATTGAAGGATGTGGCAATCTTCTGCTGATTCCAGCAGCTGCTAGGACTTCAGCCAGGGAAAAAGTCAGGTCATCGCGATGCCTGTCGTCGCTATACTCTCCAGAAACCCACATCAGGAGGAAAAATG